AGAGGCCCCAAGACGGCCACAAGAGGGCCCCAAGACGGCCACGAAAACCTCCAAGACGCTCCATGTAGCCTCCAAGACGACCCTGAAGTGCCCCAAGAGGGCCCCAAGATGGCTTCTGACGGCGTCAGACGGGCCAGGAACGCCAAAGACGAACGGAAATTGCACAACTCCAGCCCCCAAGATGCCCAAGGAGGCTTCCAGGCCCCCAGGAGGAGGCGCACAGGAGGCACCAAGAATGCCCCAAAAGCTCCCAAGAGGCCTCCTCCTCCTCCTCCGCCTCCTCCTCCTCCTCCTCCTCCTCCGCCTCCTCCTCCTCCTTCTCATCCTTACCCTCCGTAGCCATTTTGGCTCAAGGTCTCATCGCGTCTTGAGAGGTCTGAGAGCTTCTGGGCTGGACAGGCGGATGCTTAAGACCAAGCCGTTCACAGTCTGCCATAGTTGTCAGGCGTGGGTGTACAGCTAGAGGCTGTCGAATCAGGGAGGCTGTTGTGAGTGTGGCGTGTGGCTGGAGCCGTTCCAATCAACTACACCGTGGAGCCGTGCAGCTGAACGTGGCGGTGGCACCAAGAAGGCAGCCAAGGAGACGACGGGGACAACGAAACTGCCTGGTGTGCTGGCTGCGCTCAAGGCCCTGCTGCCAGAGCTAGAGGCGGATCAGCTGTGTCACCGAGTAAAGCAAGACGCAGCAGCAGGTGTCGCCTCATCAGGCATGCCAAGAACCGTCAGAATGCGCATGTCGAGCGACAGCAGATGGAGAAGCAGGCGTCCATCCTCGCCACGACCAAGGCCAACCTGGGGAAGGCTCGGCAGCAGTACAGCGAGGCGGTGGCAGCCTCGTACGATGCGGACGAGACCAAGCGCGAGGCACTGCTGCGCTACAACAAGTCGGTGGGGGTCGCAGTCGCAGAGGGGCCGAACGGGAAGGAGTTCGTGTTCGAGATCGACCTGGACGGGGTGGCAGAGAACATCGACGACTACGAAGAGGACCAGAAGGCCACTAAGACGTTCCAGGAGGACGTGCGCAAGCTGGAGCAGGTGTTGCAGGCCAAGGAGAAGGAGACGCATGACATCGAGCAGCGGGCGGCGAGCATGCGACGCCTCCCAAAGAAGCGCAATGTCGGCATCAGCAGCGGCAGCAAGGACGGGCCTCAGTCGCAGGCAGCTCCTGGTGAAGGCACAGGCAAGGGGCAACCTGCCTCAGATGAGCCTGCCGTCGACCCCGGCGCGATGGCCAAAGAGGCGGAGCGAGCCGAGCAGCGCAAGGCCAGCATCCAGAAGATAGCGGATCAAAAGGAAGCAGCATCAGACCAGGCGCGTCAAGCCAAGGCTGCTGAGGCTGGTGCTGCTACTGTGATCGCCTGGCGATGCTGCCCCAAGCGGAGCCGCTGCCAGCAGTCGCGCGGCTGCAAAGAAAGCCGACCCACGGGGGTAACGTGGAGGAGCGTGTCGGCACGGGCACATCGGAGGCGAGCTCGGGGTCCAGCGCTACTGCTTCCTTGTCGTCAGGTGCCGCACTCACCGACCCTGAGGAGGAGGAGGAGGAGGAGGAGGAGGAGGAGGAGGAGTGGGAGGGGGAGGAGGGGGAGGAGGAGGAGGAGGAGGAGGAGGAGGAGGAGGAGGAGGAGGAGGAGAAGAAGAAGGCCGAGATCCCTGTGCCAACACCAAGCAGTGGATGCACTCCGCGCCAAACGCCCCGCGTGCGGCACATCCCGCACAGGGACATCGGCCCATCGGCCAGAGGGGAGGCGCAGCGCACCACGAGCTGCAGGCGTTCCACGCCCACCTCGGTGTCGCATGGGCTCTGGCGTGGCACTGGTGGCGTCTGCGCTGACAGGCCGCCGGGGGAGGACACAGTGGGGGCCCGACCACAAGAAACCTTCCACAAGAAGCCCAACCCTGAGACCCCAGGACGTCCATCGATTTTCGACTTGGGAACGTCACGCTTTCCATCGCAAAACTGTCGAAATCCAAGAACCCCCCAGGGCACCCTGGAGGCAAGCAGTGTGTTTCTTGGCATGGGCCTCCACTGTTTGTCCAGTTGCGCAGGGGGCAACTTCACGTTCCTGGCGGCGCTTGCGCTGACAGTCCGTGGGGCAGGTCATGGAGGAGCCCTCGAGCTGGGAGTGCACCACTTCGAGGACGTCAGCTTCGGCGGCGCGTTCTGGAGCGCCGACTTTGCAGGTGGCGCGGCAGGGCAGCAGGGCTGAGCCAGCCCCTGAGGTAGCTAAGGCTGGAGGGGAACGGCACCGTGTCGTCGTCAGCGCCTACTTCGTTCCTGGTGTGCCGCTCACCGCTGGCGGGAACGCAACGAGGTTCAGAGCGCAAAGGAGCTTCGTGAAGTCCATCGCCGATCCCTGGTTATTGCTGGCGGTCTGGAATGTGGCGCCCAGCGCGTTTCAGACCCACACAGCAAGAGGTCCAGACGGAAGGATGAGGCGAAGGAGAAGCTGCAAAGGCAGCGCGAGGCTGACGAAGTGTCCAGGGGTATCGAGAATGAGATCGCGAGGGCGGGCGAGGAGCTGAGCATGATGGAGACTGACCTGCAACAGGCGGTGGCGCAAACGGTGGTACCGTCCGCTACCTCGGCGGAGTGCTGGCAGGACTCGCAGCAGTCGGTGGACAGAGCGCCACCACGTCAGGCTGCACCGCTACCTGGGGCACGAGCAGTCCTTCGACACGATCGAGCGCGAGACCCTGTCAGTCCAGTATGCGCACTGGACCTCTACGCTGGAGGAGGCCGTCGTCATGCACGGGGAGGTCCAGGAGAAGGAGGCGCATGTTGGGCGTTGCTTAATGGGGGGGTCACAAATGGGGGGGTCAGAAAAGGTCCCCTTTCGTGCCCCTTTCGGGCCCCTCCGGAGCCCCAGGGGGCTCGTTTAGGTACCGTTTGGGTACCTTTTCGGACCACCCTCGCCACCCCCCCATTTATGACCCCCCTATTACGCAACGCCCAAGCATGCGATGAGAGGTTCGGGCCGGGGAGTCAGCTACGTCATGCAGCGCACGAAAGCTGTGGCTGGCATAGCTCGCTTTGCCGACCCGGTGCCGGAGTGGTGGGCGATCGTGGCGGCGCAGGCTGCTCGGGCGTGCGCGCTGGCACGCAGCGGCTTGGACCTGAGCCAGCAGAGTCGCAGCGTGCAGCCAGTCCACGAGGAGACGCAGGAGGTGGGCTTGGGCCGTGGACAAGGCCTAGGTAATGATCCCGGGTACTTCGGCAAGCAGAGTGGGCCTGAGGAGGCGGATGATTGGAGGCAGCTCCAAGCGAGGCCTTGTCCACACTGAGGAGGGGCTCAAGGAGTTCAGCGAGCGGACTTCGCGCTGGGCGGCCAGAGCTGCAGGTCGCGCTCAAGCGGGGGCTGGGCGACACTGGAGGTCGGCGCCCGGGCTCGTGCACGGGCAGGTGAAGGGCGAGGGCCCTGCGCACCTGGAGACGCTGCAGCTCGACGAATCCACAGCGAACCCCATGAAGCATTTCCAGTTGAGGGAGGACTGCTGGATGACAGCATAGCAGTCGAGCGGCTTCGACGAGAGGCGGTTGCCGTAGTGGCTGGCGCGCACGCCCTAGCGCGCTCACCCTGCGGAAGGTGAGGCAGGCCCACACGGGCCCGCCTCCCAAGCAAACGATGGGCGTCGATGCTGTTTGACGTGGACAGACTCCCTGACGAGGCGGTGCAACGATGGGTGGACCTGTCTTGGAACTTCCCTTCGGGCCTACAGGGGGGGTCCTGGGTGGATGGGGGTTTGATGGTAAAACGTGGCATCAGTTTTGATGGGTCGGATTCTGCGCCCAAGAGGAATTAGAAATCCTTGATGGGGTCTGTTTTTCGTTGCCAGGCAACGAGAAATCGTTGATGATGTTTTGATGGCCCTTGAAAGTGGGCGTCGGGTACCGAGAAAAGCCCGATGGCCGCCCTAAGCTTGAACTACATCGCACGCGAGTGCGATGTAGTTCAAGCCCAACGCATCGGCTGGGTTTTTCTCGAAAGTCCTCGGACCGAGGATGGAAGCGCATTCAACACAAGAGAATCACCCCCCCATCATCCAACCTTTGCCGTTTCAATGCCTCCCCCTCCCTCATCCTCTTTCCCCTTCCACTCCCCCTCCTCCTTCTAACCGAGTTAGTTTTTTACGTCGCAGTGTGCCTGCCTCTTCCTCCTCCTCCTTATATCCCCCCAATCTCCTCTCCCCAGCGCCGCGGCCTTCGCGGTAAAGCCGAGGGCGGCGTAAGGGGGCGGGCGGCCCCGCACCGCGCCGCGCCGCGTACTCCTCCACCTCGTCCTCCTTCTCCCTCTTCTCCTCCTCCTACGTTGTCGTCGACGTCCTCCGTATCCTCCACTTCCTGCTCCTCTTACCTCTTACCTCGCAGCCCTCTTCATCCTCACCCACCCTCCACCTCGCACCGCCCACCTCCCCCCCCTTCGCTGGCATTCCTGATCATCCTCCTCATCCACCCCTAGTTGCTCACACTCCGCGCCATCATCTCCATTCCCCCCTGCAGGAGGGGAAAGCGGAGGGCGGGGGGGGGGAGAGGGAGAAACGCGCGAGCGAGGGAACGGCCCAGGACGGGCCTGGAGGAGGGAGGCAGGGGGAGTCGGAGGGAGGAGGGGAGAGTGGAAGGAGGGGGAAGGAGGGCAGTCGGAGGGCTGACGGGGGAGAGGGCAAGAGAGCGGGGATGGAAGGATGGCGAGGTGAAGGTGGGAGGACCCTCACCTCATCACAAAAGACGTGCCAAGGGCCGAGCTCGAACGCTCGGCCAGTCAAGTTGTCAATGGCGCACTCGGCGCCGAAACTCGCGACGGCCGTGCATCCTCAGTCCACCTGTGCTGCGGGGACGTCTCGGCCCGAGCTCCATCCACTCGTGGAGCTGCAGCATTCACGATCGGCCAATTGAATGGCTCCATCCACTCTCGGTGCATTCACGCTGTCGGCCAAAATGGCTCCATCCACTCATGACGCATTCACGCCCTCGGCCAAAATGGCTCCATCCACTCGCGATGCATTCACTCGTTGAGCGCCTTCGCGAGCACGCGGTCCACCTCCGCCAGGACGGCGGGCAGCACGTCCTGCTCAGTCATAGCAGCGCTGTCGTGCAGCTCGTCCTTCAGGCTGGTCAGGTCGTCCTTCAGGGAGCTCTTCTTCTCAGCCTTCAGCGGCTGCATGGCCTTCGCCCCCCACATCGTCACGTGGGTCCTGGAGAGCACCTGTTTGCACTCGGCCAGGGCCCTCTCGAATTCTGCTACCTTGTAGTGCTCAGTTGCCACTGCCTCGCAAGTCACTCGAAGGCCGCGGATCTCGTTCTCGAGCGCCTTGCACTTCGACGCGAGCCCCTTCTGCTTGAATAGCCCACTCTTGGCAACGTCCATCCACGAAGCGAAGTCATCGCCGACGTACTTGGAGGCCCAGTGCTCGCCATCACTGTTGATCAAGCCGCCGCAGGACTTGCAGAGCTCGTTGATCTTCTCCACCCACGGCTCCTTGATATACTTCCAGTACTCCGATGGGAACTCAAGCACGGTCGAGAGCGACTCGGTGAAGATCGCGATGATGTCCTTCGTGTACATGCCGCCCACGGTGCTCACGATCGGGTCGGCGACCTGGTAATTGTTGGCATTCGTCGAAACCTCCCCGTCCACTTTGAGGAGCCCCTCGAACTCGCTGTGGATGTCTGCTTGGGCCTCGTGCGGGGGCGTGAACTTCACGCAGACGCCCTCGAAGAGCAGCTTCGCCTGCGACCGATGCTCTTGCCAATCCTGGCGTGGGCGACCGAGTGCCACGCGCATTTGCCAAACCAAAACCACGTTGTGTTGTCAGATTTTCGGCAGGGGGCTGGTAAAGAAATACAAGGAAGCTGTCCGTGCCTAGCTGGTGGGACGAAACCCTCAACCGACATAAAAAAAAACTGAGCCCTTGATTTTGGCCCGACAGATGCGCGCATGCACCCGCTCGTCTCCTGGATCAGGACGGCGGGCTCGTCACCGAAATCGAAATCCACGCCCATCTTCGCCCGCAGACGGATGTCCGACCCGACCGACTGGCCGCGCAAGAAGAGGACGGCGAGCTCGTTATTCAAGGTCGCCACCTCCTGAAACTGCTTGTCGACGTGGCTGAGCAGGGAGATGCCGATGCCAACCACCGGGGGCGCGGACCGCACGACGTCGGACTTGTTGCCGTCGAAATCTGTCTGGGCTAACTTCTTGATCGAGGCGATCCCGTGCGACTTGCAGGCCGATGAGGTGTCAAAGAGAACCTTCCTGGTAGAATACCTGGCGAAGACCATGCCCTCGCACGCCTTCCTCGCCTCACGGATCGTCTGCAGGTTCTCGTCGGACGACGGGTCGATGGCGGCACAAGCTTGGACGAGCGCCGACTCGGACGATGCCTTACTGAGCTCCTCTCGGAGCGTGCCCAAGTCGTCCCCGACCTGCTGAAGGGCATGGGTGGGATCCTTGCCCACGCCCCTCCACGATACCGCCCCCATCTGGAAAGTCATGTAGACCTTCTCGAACTCGGCCACGTGCGCTGCCTCGTCGTCCCGCGCGCCATGCGCCGCGTCGGCGCGTCGACCCTGGATCCACCCAGAGACGGCGGTGCAGATGAGGTGCAAGAAGTCATTCGCACCCCCCGATCGCAACATCCCGCCCCAGACCTGGAAGTCCACGAGTATAGGTTTGGCTACGTCGAAAAAAATATAGGCCTGCTTGAGCTTGACCTGCGTCGCGTACTCCATCATCTTGGGGCCGTGCGTCGTGTCTGTGTAGTGGGCGCGGCTGTATTCGCGAAGCATATCAGCCAGATCCTCGCCGAACGACGAAACCACAAGCCTCCACTCCGCGCCCAACTCCTCCCTCAAGAACTTCCGCACGTCGCCCCTGATTGGGCAGAACGTCAACGCCGTGGGAGTGGGATCCATGAGAACGGCCATGCTCTGACTGAAGACGAACAGCTCGCACGCGTAGTCACGCATGCCCTCTGGCGCGGCATCGCGCAACTCTTTGGTGCCGACGTAGTCGCCGATGGCACTCAGGAGGGCATCCACGTTTGCCTTGTCGACCCTGTCCGCCTTGACGATGCCGTTGACCACGTAGTGGATGAACGCGTCCCTCGAAACCTCCACCAGCTTCTCCAGGGTAAGCCCGATTTAACTGAACAGCGGCGTAGACGTCGAGAACGCCGCTTCGTCGAGGTCCGCAACCCAAGGCACGCAGAGGGCGAACCTGTCGACCACGTCGTCGGTCTCCTTGAGGTGCAGCTCGCAGAGCTTCCGCTTGAACGACCTTGCATTGGTGATGTTAACGTGCTTGATCTTCTTGAGGGTCTCAACCCTCTGGGCGGCCGTGAGGGTCTTCACCGCGCCCCCGCCGAGCGAGTTGCACACGTCGGTGTCGGTCAGGAGCTTCTTCTGGGCATCAGTCACATATTCCACAGACGCCTTGAAGCGCCTCAGCGCGTAGATGCGACTACCAAAACCATGACTGTCCTTCCCCTTATCCAGGATGTCGCACAAATTGATATCGCGCGCCAGCTCCTGGAGCCGATGCTTGCCAGCATCGTCGTCGCACACCACCGTCTTCTTCCTGCCGCTGCTGGACATTGCGCCGCCAGCGTTCGACATCGCATCTGCGTTGCTGCGAACGTCGGCGGCGCGGTCGCCTGGAGGGGCGCTTCCTGGTGCAGGGGAGCGCGGGCTCGCATGGGTGGTCGCTCCCTGGTGTCCGCCAGCTGGTTCTGCATCACCACGTGCACCCTCCTCGCCGTCGCAGAGTGCCAGCGGTTCCGCCCGAGGTGGTTGCTGCACGACGACTGGCTCAGAGGCCGCGGGGCTGGCGCCCTCCGCCCACGAGCCAGAGTGGGACGCCGCCATGTAGCCTTTCGCCCTCGCCGCCCCGAGAGCTCGCTTTCGGACATCCTCCAGGGTTGGGACGGCGACGTGCCCCCGAAGCGCTGTCGGCAACAAATCCCTCATGTACTTCTCCACCTTCTGCTCTGTCGAAAGGCCCTGCCCATCGCGGCAATTCTTATCAGCCTCCAATGCCCACTCGGAATGAGATCCAAACGAGCTGGACCACTTCCTTACGTTCAAGAACGGCTGGTCGGGGTTCGCGATCAGAACGCCCTTGACCGTCTCGTCGTGGTGCTCGTTGTGGAGCTCGGTGATGCGCTCGCCCGCGTCGGCCATGGTGACCGCCTCGGCGCCCTTCGGCACTACGTTGAGCTTGTAGTTCGCGTCGGTGAGAAGGTCGCAGTCGGAGAAGACCGTGACGCCAATCTCTTGTTTGATGGCCACGTCGTGGCTGCTCCCAGCATGACTGGCCTGGCCAGCCGCGACTCCACACGTGAAATCGAAGGCCTCGGAGATCTCCTTGTCGGACTCGCACACGCCGCAGAACTGGACCCACCCATGGTCAAGATACCACTGGCCCCGTACGTAGCCAAGCGTGTGGAACGCGCAACCCGCGGTGAACTTCTGGACGGCCTCGCCAGGGAACTTGACGTCGGGGAAGGGGTTCTCTGCGGACTCCCTCTTGTTGCAGATGCCGCATCGGCCCTTGTTGTTGGCCCGTGTGTCGGCGGAGACCTGACGAACGCCGATGGGGCCGATGATGCTCTCCTTGCTGCTGCTTGCCTCCGCCGCCGTCTTCCCCTTCTCCCTGGGCGGTGCCGAGCGACCACCGCCTCCTCTGCCGCGAGCGCCGCGGCCAGTGGGAGCGGCCGCGGCGGCGCCTCTGCCCGCCGCAACGGGAGGCCTGCCCGTCGCCTCGGGCTCCTCGGCGGCCGAAGCGGCGCCCCTCCCGCGCGCCATCACCACGCGCGCGTGGCGCCTCACAGACAAAAACTGAAAGCTTCTGAAACTATGAGGCCGAAGGCGCTCGAGCCCACCAGCTGCCGAAACAACTGTAACATGGTGGCGCTTCCACCACGTGTGCTGGCTAGCCCAAAACGTGTGCGACCTGAGAGCAACGCAAACTCGCATCGAATCCATTGAACAAGCGCGGGCTGCACAATAAAGACTCCGTGGCGAGGGAAGCGCAATAAGCGACATGCAAAAATGCGACGCGTCTCCCGAGGCCTCCCACAGGTGATGCGAGCCGAGCATGTGGGCTTGCATGTTGGAGCACGCCCCGCCATAGACTTAGAAGCCCCCTACAGCATAGTTCTGTCGTGGACTCATCCAAGCCACCCTCCCCAACGCCACCCACTTGGCACTTACATGGTTGGAGGTGCGCCACTGAACTCCTGGGCGTTATGCCAATTGAATCGAACGCGGGGTGAAATGGAGCCCACTGGGGACCATGCAACCCAATGAAGCTCGATGGAGGCCAATGGAACCCCAGGAAGCCCGATGGGACCTACTGAGCCAAAGTTGGCCACAACTGAATATCCTCAGCCGCCCGTGTTCGAATCCACCAAGATGGCCCCAAGATGGCATTGGGCCTTAGGGTCACACGGTCGCGGTTTCATTGGGTGTGTAGGGTATTGAAGGCAATGGGGGTGTTCAAGGTGTTTGTATTCTGGCTTTTGAATATTCAGGTCTCAGCGTCTTGAACAATCCCAGGGCCTGATGCTCGCAAAGGCTCAGGGCCCGATGGCATTGGGCAATCGTGACCTTGCGGCCCAAGGTGGGATCCTAGGGACGTCGGGTCTTGTGGCCTCATGGCCTTAGGATCTTAACGTATCACGGTCCTGAGGCCCTGGGCCCCAGGCCCTCAGGGCACATTCGCCATGGGGCCCCAGGAGGAGGACAACGGGAGGGGGGGGGGATAGAGGACGAGGGGGCTGAGCAAAATACAGCCCAGAGCACCCCCTTGGGAATTTAAGGGGGCACAGTTCTTCTGTAACTCAACGGTGCGCAGCTCCTCTGTGATTTGAGGGGGGCGCAACTCCTCTGGAATTTAAGGGGCCGCAGCTCTTCGGAGATTCAACGGGGCACAGCCCCTCGGCAACTTAAGGGGGCGCAGCCCCTCGGGAATGCAAGGCGGCAAAGCTCTTCGGGGATTCAACGGGGAACAGCCCCTCGGGAATTTAAGGGCGCGCAGCCCCTCTGGAATTTAAAAGGCGCAGCCCTTCGGGGATCCCATTGGGCACGGCTCCTCGGCGATTTAAGAGCGCGCATCTCTTTGGGAATTCACAGCCCCTTCGGGGATTCCATGGCCCAGGAGGGGCCCAAGAGAGCCCCGAGAGGACACATTGGCCAGGTGTCGGGCGCCCATGGCGCTGCACCTGGCCTTGGGGTCCACATGAGGCCCCCTTGGGCCCCCTCTGGGGCCCCTCTCGGGCCCCTCTTGGGCCCCCAAGAAGGCCCCGAGAGGGCCCCAAGAGCCCAAGAGGGCTCCAAGAGCCCCCCCCCCCCCCCCCCGAGCAAGATACGAACGGCGTTCGCAGACTACTTCCGTGCATCTTGCTCGGGGGGTCCTCTGAGCGCATTCTTGGTGCATTCTCGGTGCCCTCTGGAGCCCATCTTGGGCCCCTCTTGGGGCCGTCTTGGAGCCCTAAGGGTGCATCGATAGGGGCATCATTCCCCATCTTTTCTTTTTGACGAGCCGATGCGGCGAAGCGCTGGCTGTCTGCCAGACCGAGGAGGCCTAATCCGAGTCTGAAATGTCTGCTGCGTGGCTGGATCTAGGTCCATCTCCCTCGGCCTCAGCGCCGTGCGCGTCGGGGTTCTGGCCGGCGGCCGCTACGGTGGCGGGGCTGACCTCAGGGAGCCCAGCATCAGGATCTTCGATGTCATCCGAAGGGTTGCCCAAGCTGCCGACCCCACTGGCGGAGGGCAAGTCCGAGGCACGCACGCTGGAACCTAAGCCGCCTTCGCCGCCGTCCTCTTCCCCTGGCCCCATAGACGAGCCCGCATCATCACCTGGGACGGCCCTCATCGCGTTGATCTGGGCCTGATGGCTCCTCACGGTTGTCTTGAGGCTCCTGACGTTGACGAGGAGCCAAGCCACCATGAGCTCAAGGTAGCCGATCTTCGCGACCGCCTGTCCCACACCAAAAAAACCCCGCGCAGGATTGCAAGGGGTCGGGTCGGGGGAAGTGGAACTCCCCCTGGCCACCGCCACCGCGTTTGTTTCGTTCCTCTCTTACCCCGCCCACCTGCCCTCCCATCCGACCTCAATCCTCCCCTCCCCGACCCCGTGCAATCCTGCGCGGGAGTGGGCGGCTCGTCCTCCGTCAGCGCGCCGTGCCTCTCCGAGAGCGGGAGCACGAAATCACTCGGCGGCGGCTGCGACTGACCTGGACTCGGCGCGCCGCCGGCGGCGCTCGGCCGCACCGAACTCCGCGACCGCGAGCGCAAGCGCCCTTGCTGAGGGACAGGGTCGCCTGGGGGGGTCTCGGCGGCAGGCCTCCTGCGCGGCGGCGGCGTCGGCTTCGGCGCTGGTCTGGGTCGGCGCGTTCGTCGAGGCCGAGACGAATCTTGCATTGCTCTCGGCCTCGACTGACGCGCCAACCTCGATATCGACCGACTGGGCGCCGAGCGCTTCGCGTCGACTGCAATCGCTCTATCACGATAGCCCCCCGCTGGCTCGGGACAGAATGGCACAGGAAAGGGGGCGGCCGAGAGGCTCGCGAGGCAGGGGGCTCGGGGGCGAACGAGGCGCGAGGCCGTGGGGGCTGGCCCGATTCCTTTAACCATTCGCTTCCCAGAATAAAACTGTTCAACACCGAATGTCCAGAGGAAACGCCCGATGCGCAAACTCGGCCTGACAACAGCCGACGGGATGGGCAGTCAGCAGCAAGCGGGGAAAAAGAGGACGAGGGGGGCGGAGAAGAAAGAGGCAACGTGGAAGGGAGGATATGGGAGAGCGCGGGGTGAGGACTGGGAGGGGGGTGGCACAGGAGGGGCGCAACCATATGCTGGGGCAGCGGCGGGGGAAGGGGGGGGGACCTGGAGTGGATCCCCGTTGCGACCACGGCAAGAAACTTCCTGGCAATGTACTCAAGGCCATGTCGCGCAGCGCCCGGCGGGTTGCGCGCGCTGGGGAGGGTCGCACCCGTGCGAGAGCAAGTATTCACCAGCAACAGCCACCGCGCCGACTCTTACGCGGGGCCCCGAGAGACCTCAGAAGGCAGGGGGGGGGCCCAGGGAAGCAGGAGCGAAGGGGAAAGTGGGGGGCGGCGACAAAGAAAGGCAATGCCCAGGTAACTTGGCAGTGCAACAAATCCATGCCCTGGTAACTCGGCAATGAAAAAACGATGCCCAGACAACTTGGCGAGCATAGAGGAGGAGGGAAAGAATGGGACCAAAGGGGGCAAAGGGAAACCCCGACGTGGCTGACGCACTTGGCCACCGCAGCGCCGCGCGCACCGCGCCCTGGATCGCCGCTGCCAGCGCGAGAATACCCCGACCAAGCCAAGCTTGCCCGCCCCGCACTGCGGGCGCCGCTGGGCGCGCGCTCACAATGGCCCGCCCCCACCCATTGCAACGGTCCAAAACGCTTGCCGCGAGCCCCCCCCCCCCCCGATCCGAACTTGGCCCCGCGCGGCTGCAATCCCGCGGGGCTTTGCAAAATTTCGGAAATTGCCGCGGGCGCGCGCGCGCGCGTGCGTGGTGGTGGTGGTGGGCAGGGGGTGGAGTGGTAGGGGGGACATTGCAAAACTGTGGACCTTGCCGCGAGTGTGAGTGCGTGCGCGCGTGGGGGGGGTGGGGGGCGCGGTGGCGGTGGGCGGGGCGGGGAGGGGACTTCTGTAAAATGTCGGACCTTGCCGCGAGTGCGCGCGCGCGCGGTGGTGGCTGTGGGCGGGGTGGGGCTTTGAGCAATTCTGGAAATTACAGAATTACCGCGTGTGTGTGTGGCGTGTGGTGGTGGTGGATGGTGTGGGGGGGGGGATTTGAAAAATTCCGGACACGCCGCGAGTGCGCGCGCGCGCGGCCGCGGTGGGCGCGGGGGGGGGGGGGGGGCGAACTTTACAAAATTTCTGACTTTGGCGAATGCGTGCGCGTGGTGGTGGTGGGTGCGCGGGGTGGGGGTTGGGGGGGGGGGGGGGGGGGGGGAGGGGGGGGGGTGGGCTTGGCAAAATGTCGGGCCCTTGCCGCGGGTGCGAGCGCGCGCGCGCGCGCGCGGTGGTGGTGGCGGGCGGGGGGGGGGGCTTTGCAAAAATGCTGGGGGTTGGAAATTGCAGCGAGTGTGGGCGTGTGTGTTGGCGGTGGGTGTGGGGGCGGGGGGCTGCAAAACCTGTAGCTTGCCACGGGCGCGTGCGTGCGCGGTGGTGGTGGGCGGGGGTGGGAGGGGGGAGGGACTTTGCAAAATGTAGACCTTGCCGCGAGCGCGCGCGTGCGCGCGGCGGTGGTGGGCGGGGGGGGAGGGGGGGGGGCAACATTTCGGATTTAAATTGCCGCGAATGCGCCGTGGCGGTGTTGGTGGGGCGCGGGGGGGGGGGGGTGGGGGGGGGGCTGCGGTAAAAGTCGGACCCTTGCCGCGAGCTGGCGCGTGAGTGTGCGCGGGGTGATGACGGCGCGGGGAAGGGGGGGGGGGCTTTGCAAAATTCTGCGAATTGGAAATTGCAACGAGTGCGCGCGCGTGGCGGCGGTGGGCGCGGGGGCGTGGGGGAGGGGGGGGGCTTTGCAAAACGTCGGACCTTGCCGCGAGTGTGGGTGCGCGCGTGCGCGGGCGGGCGCGGTGGCGGTGGGTACGGGGGGGGGGGGGGGGGGAAAACTTCTATAAACTTCGGACCTTGCCGCGGGTGTGCGTGCGTGGTGGTGGCTTTTGGGGGAGGGGGGGGGCTGTGCGCAATTTCGGAAACTACCGAAGTACAGCGTGCGTGTGCGCGTGCGTGGTGGTGGTGGTGGGTGTCGGGGGGGGG